ATGGAGGATGGAGAGCATGAGACTGATTCCTGAAAGACCCCAGTGACAGACGAGTCTCTGCATTGATCCAGTGGACTAGAACACCCACCGGTGACCTACTCACACCTGCAGCTTCTCCACGGTAGACGTCCAGTGTTCTCCAGCCTCCAGCACCTAGACTGCAGCTCTGCACAAGAAGTTTGGCCAGAGGAGGAGTGGTTTGTGCCCAACTGATTCTGGTTTCTCTCAAGATTTTTTTCCCCTTCACTTTGGTCAATTGGTAAAGTTTGTTCTCGCCACTGGTTTTCTTTGGTTTGGGACTTGTGAAGCTGCGCAAGGATGGATTAGTCTTCAGTGTTTGGACTTTCAGCAGTGAAAATTAAACCACACTGAACTGAACTCTGAAAACTGGACTGACGCAGTTTCAGTTCACTATAATCTTCTATGTTAAGCTGCTTTAACTCAATCTACATTGTAGAAGCGCTATAGAAATAAGGATGAATTGAATCCATTGAATTACCCAGTCACATCAACACACACCGATGCATTAACCAGAAGAAAACATTTGCTTGCATTTTCTTCTTTGTTTATTGAACATCCACACAGGCGGCAGTGGAGCGACAGGATATTTTGGAGGCAGACATGAGAGAAAAGGTCCTGCAGAACAGCCTGAATGCACTGAAGAGCTGCCCGCTGACCCACGGCTTCAGGTCCGGCACCACAGAGCGTCTGTTTTCAAGCCGTACCGTCAAAAACATGCCAATCTCCAAACCCTGAGCCTCCACAGCCACCTTCAGGTTCACAGCCATTCAATATTCTAGCAGTAATCCAATTCACAACACAGGTTAAAACATTGAAACATGATGTTACAGGGCTTCTGTGGGTCTTAAAAAGGATTGAAAGTACCATTAATTGACTCACTCTCAGTCTGTTAAAGGGATAGTTCACACACAAATTGAAATGTTCTATTTGCTTTCCCTCCCAATCATCAGGAGTTTCTTTCTATTGTTGAGCACTGAAAATATTTTGAAGAAAGCCGAAAACCATCGACTTCCATACACTCTAAAAAATAACTCAAGAGGTCTGTTACCACTACATAGTTTAATACACTATTGTAACTTAAAATTTCTAATATGGTGATTAGATTAAAACTTTTAAGTAGCCAAAATAACTTTTCACAGTTAAATATTGATAACTACATAAATTTAAAAATGCAGCTAATTTAAAGGTAAATATATCTGTCAGTTACTTTAAAACAGTATTTAACTTGAAGAAACCCAACGAAATTGGGTTGATAACTCAATTTTTACACACTAATGGAGTTGTTTTGTATTTTTAAGTCCACACTGATGTTTTTTGTTATTTTTTTATACTGATAATAAGGGACAGAACATGTTTTTGTTTTGTGAAAAAAAAGGAAACATGTGGTTTAATACAAATAAAAAATTACCAGTAAACAAAAATGTTGTTGTTAAATGTATTTCTTACAAGCATGAACAGTAAATTCAAAAACAAACAAAACAATTTAACAATTTCAGCTACTTAATTTATTTGAGGTTCTAAACTTGAAAACATGCATGTAATTAAGTACATAACACTGGATTTGTTTTTTAATTAAAAAAAGTTATTTTGAGTACTTGACTTAAAAATCTGAGTTTTTAGCTGTGTGAAAATGCCTCTGATTGAGGAGGAAAAGATTTGGCTAACATAATAAAGTTTGTTGTCTGAACCTCATTTTGTTAGATGTTGTCGTAGCTTGAATATATTAACGCAAACTGTTGCGTAAATTATTTTTGTTTTGTCTAAACAATATTTTTAGAGTGTAGTAGGATAACAAATACTATGGAAGTCAGTGGTTACAGGCTTCCAACATTTTTCAAAATATCTTTTGTGTTCAACAAGAAGGAATCTCAAACAGTTTTGGAATCAGTAAATGATGACAAAATTGTATTTTTTTTTTGTGAACTTTCACTTTTAGGATGAAGGTGACTTTGTTTTCTATGATAAAAAATTATTCAATTGACATATAATGCAAGTCAATGGTCACCCGTTTTTGAGATTAAAAATAATCAAGTCCAAGTGAGGGTTGTAAGTGTATACTGTTGATAAAATCTAATAATATTGTAAATACTGTTCAATTTCTTGCACAGACTTTTCATAAGACCAGTGTGTCATCAGGCTATTGATTTGAACTTGTTTGTGTTTATTTTAAATCTAAATAAAACACAGATTCTGCTAAAAAAATCTTTATTTTCTACTGTAGAAAAAAGTCACCTGCATCTTTAATGGCCTGAGGGTGAGTAAATAAACTGTACAATTGAATCTTTTAGTGAACTGTTCCTGTAAATGAAAGCAGTAAGCAATAGTAAGCATTAAATGTCTTGCGAAAATATAGGATCTTCCACAGTATTTTAGTCTTTTTTTTCGAATACAAATATCTAAACAATAAAAAGTCGATTAATAAATTATTAGCTTGTGATGCAAAAAAAAAAAAAAAGGTTTATGCAAAAAACAAGAGAACAAATACCTTTAAGTACGGTATGGAAAGTTTCCCTTTAATTTAAGGAGACCGTAAAGCCCGTTGCCAGATTTGTATTCAGTGTTAAAATCTCAATTCATATTGATCACTTGTTTAATATAACAGTGTTTAGCATAAAAAAAAAAACAATACTGAGGATGAACACTGTGAAGTATTTATGTATATATTTATGTCATTTGAAATATGGAGATCTGTTGTCAAATCTAGACATCTATAATTGGACAAATTCCCTTTTATTTATTCCTAATATGTGACCCTGAAATACAAAACCAGTCATGAGTGTAATTGTTTGGGGGAAATTGAGATTTAAAGGACACATACTTTCCTTAATTGATCTTTAAATGTCAAATTCGCCTTCATAAAACCTTAATAGACATCTGATAGACATCTACGCTTAGATTGGCTAAAACAAGACTAAATTTGGTCTGTCCTGAAGTATTAGATTAGCCCATAACTAGACTAATAATAAAATATAGATTAGATCAGACAGCAGAAATTTAGCAGGTATGTTCAGACATCTATTAGACGTCTATTAGACACCTTTTATACTAGAAACATGTTTGCTGGGATTTCACATAGTTATTCATTTATGTCTACTTGATGACTATAGTCTAGTTTTGGGCTATTCTAAGATTTCTATTAGATGTTTACTGATAGCTCAAATTTAGCATCTATATTTAGACATCTTTTAGACATCCTTTAGACCTCTTTTTAACACAAAAAAATGCATGCTGGGATATCACATTATTATTTCTTGCTATTTGATTACTAGTCTAGATTTGGACTATTCTAAGATGTCTTTTAGATTTTCACAGACAGCCCAAATTCAGCATCTATATTTAGACATCTATTAGACATCGTTAAAATAAAAAAAAAATGCATGCTGGGATATCACATAGTTATTCATTCCTGTCTATTTAATGACTAGTCTTGATTTGGGCTATTTTAAGATGTATATTAGATGTTCACTGACAGCCCAAATTTAGCATCTATATTCAGACATCTATTAGACGTCTATTAGACTTCTTTTAAACACTAAAAATGCATGCTGGGGCTTTTACATGTAGTCATTCATTCCTGCCTATTTGATGACTAGTCTAGTTTTAGGCTATTCTAAGATATCTATTAGATGTTTACTGACAGCCCAAATTTAGCATCAATATTTAGAAATCTATTAGACGTCTACTAAACATCTTTTTAACACCAAAAATGCGTCAAATAGTCATTAATTCATGCCTCTTTGATAACTGTAGTCTAGTTTTTGGCTATTCTAAGATGCCTATTAGATGTTAACTGATAGCTCAAATTTAGCATCTACATTTAGACATTTTTTAGACCTCTTTCAAACACAAAAATTGCTGGCTGGGATTTCACATAGGTATTAATTCCTGTCTATTTAATGACTAGTCTAGATTTGGGCTATTCTAATATGTCTATTAGATTTTAAACACAAACAATATGCTTGCTGGGATATCACATAGTCATTATTTTATCTCTATTTTATGACTAGTCTAGATTTGGGTTATTCTAAGACATATATTAGATGTTCACTGACATCCAAAATTTAGCATCTATATTCAGACATCTATTTGACATCTTTTAGACATCTTTTAAACAGCAAACATTCTTGCCAGGATTTTTACATGTCATTTATTTCTGTCTATTTGATGACTAGTCTAGTTTTGGATTATTCTAAGATGTCTATAAGATGTTCACTGACAGCCCAAATTTAGCATCTATATTCAGACATCTATTAGACGTCTATTAGACTTCTTTTAAACACTAAAAATGCATGCTGGGGTTTTTACATGTAGTCATTCATTCCTGCCTATTTGATGACTAGTCTAGTTTTAGGCTATTCTAAGATGTCTATTAGATGTTTACTGACAGCCAAAATTTAGCATCAATATTTAAACATCTATTAGACATCTACTAAACATCTTTTTAACACCAAAAACGCGTCATATAGTCATTAATTCATGTCTGCTGTATGACTATAGTCTAGTTTTGGGCTAATAGATATCTATTAGATGTTCACTGATAGCTCCAATTTAGCATCTACATTTAGACATTTTTTAGACCTCTTTCAAACACAAAAATTGCTGGCTGGGATTTCACATAGGTATTAATTCCTGTCTATTTAATGACTAGTCTAGATTTGGGCTATTCTAATATGTCTATTAGATTTTAAACACTAACAATATGCTTGCTGGGATATCACATAGTCATTATTTTATCTCTATTTTATGACTAGTCTAGATTTGGATTATTCTTAGATGTCTATTAGATGTTCACTGACAGCCCAAATGTAGCATCTATATTCAGACATCTATTAGACTTCTATTAGACATCTTTTAAACACACAAATAAATGAACTTGTTTTGTGGTCCAGTGTCACATATTGATGTTAGAAATGTCAAATTGACCTTGATAAAACCTGCAGAAACCCTGTGTTGACTGGTCTATATTGGAGAGAGGGAGATTTTGAGCAGAAAGCAGTGTTTCCCAGTTACTGTGCAGTCTGCAGAAGCTGATGGAAGTATTTGAGGATGTCTGCTCTGACTTCAGACACGTTGACTCTGGGGAACCAGCGCATCACAGGCCTGCCATCTGGATCCAGCAGAAACTTCTCAAAGTTCCACTTGATGTCATTGACTTTCAGCGGTTCCCAAAACAGCCTGTTGCTGGTGGCCCCAAAACTCTCTCCTACAGGCGGACATGCGTTCTGAAAGCAGACGACATTACAATACAATACAATACATCTGACTGCTTTTGTGTCCAAATATCAACCTTATTCTTCACATACGAGCAGGCGCAGACATTGAAATCTTTTTGGCTGGAGACTCTTCCGCTCTCATTCACTTGCGTTGATCTTTAGACGTTAAAAACAGCTCGTTCTGCTGCTCGATGTTGCAAACCCATATTTTCTTATTGTCTTTCTAGTTTTTATGTATAGTCATGGACACACTTGTTTGAAGAGCAAGTAGTGTGACTATTTTCTGCGGTTTATTATTCCTAGTCATTCTCCCAACGCAATCTGAAGTACTAAAACAATCACAAAAATGAGCGCACTTCTGCACTGCAAAAAAAGAGTCAATATAATAATAATATAATAAAGTCATCTTAATGATAATAATAATAATAATTCCTTACATTTATATAGCGCTTATCTGGGCACTCAAAGCGCTTTACACAATGGGGGCGAATCTCCTCATCCACCACCAGTGTGCAGCATCCACCTGGATGACGTGACGGCAGCCATTTTGCGCCAGACCGCACACCACACACCAGCTGATTGGTGGAGAGGAGACAGAGATGAAGCCAATTATGATATGGGGATGGTTAGGAAGCCATGATGGACGTCCCTGTAGAGTTTATGCGTTAGAGAAAAACATCTACAAATAAAATAGTGCTTTTTAAAATAAATGACAGTGAATGAAAGTAACCCCGGTGAGCCTAATAGACAATTATATATTTAGGGTATTTACCTGAAGTGCTTTTTGAATGTTGCGTCACCAGGCTATTCACATTTCTTGCAGATTTTCATGTAATTTTTGGTGTTTCATCTTTTATTTTTTGCAGTTCGGCTGTTTCCCTTTCACTTATGAACATTTCATTCATGCCCCCGTGACAAACAGATGGAAGCGTTGTTTTAATTGAATTTGATACCGCGTGCCGAATGGAAAGAAAAAAAAACTTACCTGTCCTTTACTGTCCTACTGTCCTTTACTGACAGCCGCATGTGTGGATCTTGTCACAAAATGCGGTGAAAAGTCCTACATGGCTGTAATAATTTGATTGCGGTGTTTACTTCAGTAATGCCACTAATATCTGCATACTCCACGTGTCTTAGTTCCATTTCTGTTAACCATTTCTGCCAGGGTGCAGAGCGTATTTTGCCATCCTTACAATGCCATCCCTAACGCTTTTTCACTATAAGATTTTAGACTTTGCACCTAGATTATTAAAACTTCTTTTGTTTTTGAATTTAGAGAAATTAACGAATAATTATAATATATATATATATATATATATATATATATATATATATATATATATATATATATATATATATATGATTAATTAAAATGTATACATTTTCAGAAAATATACAACTAAACCAGAAACATTCTAATGTTAAAATGAAAGCTACATTACACTTGTGTTTTGATTCTTCCTTAAATTGATTTTGTTTACTCTACTGAATTAAAAAAATTAAGTTAATAAAGTTTTATTTGTTTTATTTTGGCTAGTATAAAAGCAGTTATTAATTTTTTTAAAAACCATTTTTGGGACAATATTATTAGCCCCTTTAAGATAATTTTTTTTCGATAGTCTACAGAACAAACCATCGCTATACAATAACTTGCCCAATTACCCTAACCTGCCTAATTAACCTAGTTAAACCTTTAAATGTCACTTTAAGCTGTATAGAAGTGTCTTGAAAAATATCTAGTCAAATATTAATTACTGTCATCATGGCAAAGATAAAATAAATCAGTTATTAGAAATAAGGTTTTAAAATTATTATGCTTAGAAATGTGCTGAAACAATATTCCCTCCATTAAACAGAAATTGGGGTAAAAAATAAACAGGGGGGCTAAAAATTCTGACTTCAACTGTATATACGTATATATTCTAACGGGAAAAAAATGAAAGCTATATTACACGTGCACATGTTGATGCTTCCTTGAATTGATATTGTTGAAATTGAAAATCATTGAAATAGTTATATTCTAATGCATTTTCCTGCATAAATCTTGACTTAAGCATCTTAAGTTCTCTTTAATAGCTTGGAAATTCTATATTTTATTTCTAAAATCACTCTTTGTTCCTTGAAAATGTGGCTTTTATAATGCAAGTTGTCGGATTGATTTTAAAACATACTTTATTATCCATAGACCAACCTTTAGGAATGTGAAAAGGGCCTGCTCTCCGTCTCCATTCACATCTCCCTTCTCAAATAACTGGAAATTAGGAACGAATCCATTTCCTGGACGGACATACCTGCGAGGACAAGGAGAAATCTGTTTCTGTCTATAAGAGAAGCGATCCTTCAGATGTCTCTCCAGAAACCAGCTTAAGGTTTGAGATATATAAGAGGTGCTGTAATTTAAAGGAGATGATGGATGAGTGAGCGGATAAATGACGGAAGAGTGAATAGATAATTCCACATGGCCTGAGGCTCAGGGTTTTGTTCTTCAAGGGTAAACTCACAAGTCTTGTCCTCCTAAAAACGACCTGTTATGCCCTTATTTAACAATGTAAAATAAAATAAAATTTAAAAATGTAAAATAAGTCTCTGATGTATTGAGTGTGTGTGTGAAGTTTCAGCTTATAATACTACGCAAATAATGTTTTATAACTCTCTGAAACAGACCCTTCCAGGACTTGTGGACTTTGATCCTAATTGTGGCGTTTTGGGTGAGTGTCGCTTTAAATTTAAATGAGATTGCAATGTTTTGAAAAGAGGGCGGAGCTACATATGCCTGTGTGTCAGCATAGTGGCAGATTCAAAACAGGATTAACTATCTTGTGAACTATGGCGGTCGGATGCTTCTCACTCAGGGCTGTTTATGCAAATGAGGGAGAGATGGTCACTAGTGGGCGAGGCTTTCCCTCTCTGATGACACGTACAAAGTGAGAATGTCAATCAAAATGTTTCTGCAGGTGGTTTTTATCAAGTCTGATTATAAACAATAGAATTAACAACTTTTTACCATTAGAAGCTGCTTATGTTCACAGGATGTTGCCAAACAAACCCTTCTTAAAAGTAACTTTTGTATAATAGGTCCCCGGTAACGTGTAAAGTCTGTGCAAATGTATTTATTTTTAATGTGTTAGTGAATAATAAATTAATAAAAGTATTAATAACAAATTAATCAAATTAAATTTTATTAATAATAATTATTAAAAGTAATCTTTAATATATTTCCCAGTGCTGGGAAGCAGTTGGATGGGCATCCGCTGCATAAATCATATGCTAATAAGTTAAGATAAGTTGGCGGTTCATTCCGCTCTGGAGACCCCTGGTTAATAAAATTACTAAGCTGAAAAGAAAATGAATAATCTTTAATATAAGCAATGATTTAATGTTTTTTCTCACATTCAGTTTTTTCTCAGACATTTTGTTAATATTTTCATTTTATTAGCTTTTTTTTTTTTTTAATCTTGAAACATTTAGTAAATTATTGTTATTGTATTGCATTTTTCAAAACTTTTTTTTAGTACTTTATTTTGTAAATCCATCATTTATATTGTATTTCAGTCATCTTTTAGTGAAACTGAAAAAAATTAAAGGTACAGTTTTTTTTACACAAAAAAATAAAAAATAATTTACACGTTATTCATTTGTTCCAAAACCTTTTTTCTCTTGAACACAAAAGAAGATATTTTGAAGAATGCTGGACAAAACAGCCATTGACTTCCATATTTTTTGTTCCCATTATGGAAGTCAATGGTTACAGGTTTTCAGAATTCTTCAAAACATCTCACAAAATCCAACTCATGCAGGCTCATTCTGAAAATGTAGCCCTGTATACATTTCTGGAGATGGTGGATTACATACGTTTTAATAACAATTATGTAGCCAGAGGTTTCCGCTGTTACCAGTTTGTTTAATGGCTTGCAGCATATGTTGGCGGATTGAGATGCAGAGAAGAGCTGAGCGCGATGACGGGGTTCGAGTCTGGCGAAGAACGTATCCAGAAAGCAGGTAAGACAAAAACAAAAGCCAAAAAATAAAATAAACAAGTAAATAGCAATGTGGTAAAATCTGAAAATGTGGTAAAAATCAGAGGAGGGCTTTTTTTTTGGATTGCTTTTAAGCACTCTTGAAAGAAATTTGAGATCTCAAAAACCATATACAGCGGCCTCTGGTGGATTTGTGAAAAACAAAAAACTGCAAAAAAAAAGAAGAAAAAAAAAACGTAGCTCCTGGGATGTATTTGGCGCTCTCCAGAAATGTATATAGGGGTACGTTTTCAGATTTAGCCTGGTTTAACAAAATCACTCTTGAAGGTTTAAACCACTTGAAGTAAATAACACACAATAAACTGGTTTCATCACAACTTTAAATGGCTCCATTTTCCAAACTCACTTCAATGCAGAAAGAATTTCATTGTTTTCTCCAGGTTCTTGTTTCCCGAATTGGTCGCAAGGAAAGCCGAGGATGGTGAATCCCAGATGGCGAAGCTCCTCGTGTAGTGCATTCAGTTCTGACCAGCACACAAAACTCAAAGTCAATACAGTCTTCAAGAAAAGGTGCAGTATTTACACTTCAGTATATGCTGTCATGAGAGGTGTAACGTGTTTATTCAGTGTTCAGGATAAATGAATACACCCTTTTACACGTCTCTGATTTGCATTCATATTTGCTTTACAATTTTATGTTTGTGCTTATGCAGTACATTAGGTTAGTCAATATCAAAGCCAAAACTGGAACTAATCCAAAATATATATATATAAAAATATGAAGATTGAAGGAATTTTTGGATTAAACGCGAGGCGCGCAGGGTGCATAAGCAATGCGCAAAAGCCTGGCGGCCGTTAGTAAATCATTCAAAAGAGGCGCCGCTCAATGCATAAAGCGCGTTCTGTGTGATCAGCCCCTTAGGTTGTAGCAAAAAGCTTAGAAAGACCAAGAGGCGACACTCAATAGAACGTTCTATTGCAACAGCAGCGCCCAGCAACAGCCCGGATTCCGCCATTTTGGAGTGAAAGCGATCGGCTGTCCATTGGATCTTATTGCTGTTGCGATGGCAAGCAGCCGCTCTGTTTTTTATTTATGTATTTAAAAAGCTCATTAAAGCTGAGATACTACCTGAAAGACGACAATACAACACTTACTATCACAATCATCAGCGCTTTTAATAGTTTATTTTGCAAATTAAACACACCTTAACCAATTAATAGTACCTAAAGCAGCACTCGATAATTACAAACAGGTGTGTTTGGTCAGGGTTGCAACTAAATTCTGCTGGAAGGTAGCTCTCCAGGAACAGGGTTGGTGACCCCTGATATAAGATATATTCTATATACAATCTTTTCTATTCTCAACTGTAAAATGATTACATTATTATTATTATTATATTTTATAAGGGATACTTTTATTGCTTTATGATGATTAATAAGTAAATATAAATGGCAGTGCAAATTAATTTGACTTCATAATATTTAAAAAAAAATCTGTTTTGTGTTAATGTGACATGTTTATGTCCGATATTACATGTTCTATGCATACTGCCGCTATAAATAAGTTATTTTTTGATGGATTTGACATGTGGCTCTTCACTTTGTTTGCAAAACTTGATGTGGCCCTCAGGTCTAAAAAGTGTGCCCACCACTGCTCTACATCCATTATTAACATGCCAGATCCGTTACCCTGATCTGTTCCGGGAACTCGCAACACCCAAATTAAAATGTGGAGGAAAAATATTAAATTAAATCTTAATAAACTGGAAAAATCAAGAGAAACTTAAAAAATATAATAATTTTAGTAGAATATTTGTATTTGTAATTCTTTTGTTGTTGTTGTTGTTGTTGTTGTTGTTGTTGTTGTTGTTGTTGTTGTTGTTGTTGTTGTTGTTGTTGTAATAACTCCTTTGAATTTATGTTTTCTATATATTCCTAAAGATGTCCGGTGACCAAACTCTTACTTTAATGAAAATATCTGTTCAATAAAACAGTTTCTTTCAAATGCACCAAAAATAATCAGCTATATTCACTGAGAAATTTTACATTTACATTTAGTCATTTAGCAGACGCTTTTATCCAAAGCGACTTACAAATGAGGACAAGGAAGCAATTTACACAACTATAAGAGCAACAATGAATAAGTGCTGTAGGCAAGTTTCAGGTCTGTAAAGTCTAAGAAGGAAAGTATTAGTAAATTATTTTAATTTATTTGTATTTTTTTTTTGGGTACCGTTAGTGTGATATCCAGAGAGGCAATTGCAGATTAGGAAGTGAATGCATGCATTAAACTATGTATTTATAGAAGAGGATGTGCCTGTTTATGCTGAACACTGTGTGTGTGACCTTATTTTGGACTGTTAAACCAGTCGTAAGTGTCCGTTTTTTTGATAATGTGAGTTGAGATTAGTTGTGTAAAGAGCTCATTTGCATACACTCACCCACGTACTGGAAGGTCAGTCCTCAGTAGGTGGCCACGTTGACCACGAGGACGTGTTTTCCAGCGTAATGAGAGAACGGGATGAACTGCGTCCCGTTTATGGTTTTTGCACCGTAGTTGTGAAAAGAGTCTCCAGCTGCCGAGTTACAGGCCTGACACACACACACACACACACATTTGATTAATTTATTTGGAATGACTAATACTAATTAAAGCAACACAGCATCCAAATAATCATAAAGAGCCTGTGATGTTTCACAGTACAAGCAATAGATACAACCATGTTTTTCAATACCTCATCCACAACAACAATATCAGGAGTGTTGGGAAAATCTCTAATGACAGTACTCGAAACATGTGCATTACTGGTCAATGATGGAAACCAGTTCATTCGTACACTCTTGATTTCTTGTTAGAGTATAGTGCACTGTGCACACTGACTCTCTCCAGCTCTTTAGCTGTAATGTTCACAATGCAATCATGACGTGCGATGCGCACACACACACACACACACATTAACATCACCACATGAAGGCACTGTAGCTCAGTGGTTAGCATTGTCGCCTCACAGCAAGAAGGTCGCTGGTTCGACTCCTAGCTGGGCTAGTTGGCATTTCTGTGTGGAGTTTGCATGTTCTCCCCATGTTGGCATTGGTTTCTTCCAGGTGCTCCGGTTTCCCCCACAGTCCAAACACATGCGCTATAGGGGAATTGATTCACTAAATTGGCTGTAGTGTATGTGCATGTGTTTGAAAGAGAGTGTATTGGTGTTTTCCAGTACTGGGTTTACTGTGCAAAACATATGCTGCATAAGTTGGTGGTTCATTCCGCTGTGGTGACCTCTGATGAATAAAGGGACTAAGCCAAATGAAAATGAATGAATGAATATTAAGTAACTTAAAAGCATATGTTGTCATCGTTACTTATTTACAATTTGTTCATAAAACTATTCCAGAAAAATTCAGCATGTTGTTTAGCAGAAATTAGGATTTAGTTTGCATGATATGTGTAATTACTTAGTTACAGTAAAGTTACATTTACAACGTTACAAAAGATTCTGTTTCTATTGTTGCTCTTTTGAACTTTCTATCAAATGATCCTGAGAAAAAAATCCACAAAAATACAAAGCATCACAACTGATGTCAACACTGATATTATTCTTGAATCAAAATAGCATGTTGGAGTGATTTCTAAAGCGCTGTGTGTGATTGGATATTATTTACATTATTTATATTTTTTTTAAATATATGCAAATTTGTTATTATTATTTATGAATTTATTTATTTCACTATAATACTGTATTTCCCAAACATACAAATGCAGCTTTGGAGAGCAGAACAGGCCAAAAACATGAACTTGAACAGAGCCCAAACCTTTAAACATCAGTGAACATGAGATCAGCTTATCATTCAAACATCAGCGTGACCTTTGTATTCACACTCAGAATTGTGAAATCCCAGATCTGTCAAAGAAACAGCTTGTTTTTCAAATCACACATAAAACTGCAGAGCTGTAAATAAATAAATAAATAAATAAAATTTTGCTGCTTTAATTTTTTTGTGAAATCAAATGACCCTTTCTAGTCATCTAAACTTCTGTCAAACGAACTAAGTTATAATGTCTGTATAAAGACTAAGAATAATGTCTGTGTGACGGCTCATCTGACCAGAGTTTTAGTTTGTCGTTTAAATATTTGTTTTGCTTTAAATTTATTTAATTTATTTACATTTAATTTAGTTTTTTGTTTATTTAATTTATTTATTTTTATTCAGTTCTTTTAACTTAAAGTATAATGCCTGTGTGACGGCTCACGTGAAAGACTTTTAGTTAGTTGTTTAAACAATTGTTCTGCTTGGCACAATTTATTTATTTATTTATTTATTTATTTATTTATTTATTTATTTATTTATTTATTTATTTATTTATTCCTTTCTTTCTTTCTTTCTTTCTTTCTTTCTTTCTTTCTTTCTTTCTTTCTTTCTTTCTTTCTTTATTTGTTTGTTTGTTTGATTGTTTTTTGTTTGTTCATATGTTGGTCATTTAATTTAATTAAATTTTGTATTTAATTTAATTTTACTTTATCTTCATTTAATTTTTTATTTTACTTCATTCATTTAATTTTTGGCTTAGTCTCTTTATTAATCTGGAGTCGCCACCTCGGAATGAACCGCCAACTTATCCAGCATAAGTTTTACGCAGAAGATGCCCTTCCAGCTGCAACCCATCACTGGAAACATCCATACACATTTCATTCACTCTCATACACGACGGACAATTTAGGTTACTCAATTCAACTGTACCGCATGTCTTTGGACTGTGGGGGAAACCAGAGCACCCGGAGGAAACCTAAGCCAACGCGGGGAGAACATCATTTAGGAAATATTCACAAAAGAAAAACTAATTCAAAGGTGGGCTAATAATTCTGACTTCAACTGTATGTGTGTATGTATGTATGTATGCATTTATTTTATTTTATTTTGTTTTATTTCAATATTTATTATTGTTATTATATATTTGTTATTTGTTAACTTAAAAAAGTACAATGATGTTTAAACAATTGTTCTGATTGGCGCAAATTTATTTATTTATTTTAATTAAAATTTGTTTTTATTTAGTTTTATTTCTAATATTTATTATTATTATTATTATTATTATTATTATTTAGTTTTTGTTTTACTTAAAGTGTTATGTCTGTGTGACGGCTCATGTGACCTGACTTTTAGTTTGTTGTTTAAACAAATGTTCTGATTGGCACAATATTTTTATTTATTTATTTATTTATTAAATACATTTTTTTAATATGTAAAATATATATATATATATATATATATATATATATATATATATATATATATATATATATATATATATATACAGGGTAAATATTTGTTAAAATCATCTTAAAAAGCAGTTTTGTCAATTTTTCTCTACATGAACTAAAAAATGTACATGTAAATGTAATCATTTTCCAAAAATAAAATTATATTTTGTAATTTTTGGAAAATCCCTCAAACAAAGTTGGGGGGAGAGACATAAAAAATCTGAAATCTGATTTACATATTAAAATAAGTTAAAGAAACATAAAAAGTACATTTGTTGTCATTCTCCCATATCGATTTAACAGTGCGAGTAAATAAAATGATCAAATAATCTCGGTTACATTCCTCAGAATAGAAATGTATCAGAATAAAATCACTCTGAAGCTGATATTAGGTGAGGTTAGAATAGTCTGAACACGCAAAGCAAATATTTACCTTCACTTGACTTTTGCTGTTTGGTATTTGATGTGCTTAAAAATAAACCTGTCACCTACAAAACAGTCTGTCATTTTACTATACACTCCTGGACATACCAAAGAGAGATGATTCCAGCCATTTTTATGTTCATTCATTCATTCGTTCATTTATTTATTTAATTTTCTGTCTCAGTTACTACGGCAACCCTTTGCACCTGCTGCTTCACGGAGAAAACAGCGCGCACCAACAAAACCAGCTGATTTATGAGCATCACATGCTGTAAAACACACACATTTATGCATTTATTGTCTATACTTCTGTTTGTTTTTCAGTGTGTTTACTGTGTAGGCTTCAATGTGACATGTGCAAATACTGGGATGTTGGCTTAAGAAGCAATATCTTGTAATTTAATTAAATGAAACTGTATCTCGTTTATGCCTATATTTATTTATATCACAACACAAACAGTTTTATATGATCAGAATTATTCGTCCCCCTTTGAATATGTTAAATATTTCCCAAATGATGTTTAACAGAGCTAGAAAATTTTCACAGTATGTCTAATAATATTTTTTCTTCTGGAGAAAGTCTTATTTGTTTTATTTCGGCTAGAATAAAAGCAGTTTTTAATTTTTTAAAAATCATTTTAAGGTCAATCTTATTAGCCCCTTTAAGCAATATATTTTTTCAATAGTCTACAGAACAAACCATCGTAATACTTTAACTTGCCGAATTACCCTAACCTGCCTAGTTAACCTAATTAACCTAGTTAAGTCTTTAAATGTCACTTTAAGCTGTATGGAAGTGTCTTGAAAAATCACTAGTAAAATATTATTTACTGTCATCATGGCAAAGACAAAATGTATCAGTTATTTGAGATGAGTTATTAAAACTATTATGATTAGAAATGTGTTGAAGAAATCTTCTCTCCGTTAAACAGAAATTGAGGAAAGAGTGAACAGGGGGGTGAATAATTCCAATAGTATCTGGATGCAGCCTTTATGATGCAAGCTGAGACTGCATCACTCAGCGATGCAATATCAGACACAATGTACTCAAATGGAGCTAGTGACTAGTGAGGGGTGGGGTTAGGTGAGCCCATTAAAAAGCATTGGATGCATCCCAGATTGCACTGCACCAGGTCTGCAGCCAGACCCCTCTCAATAATTCTGACTTCAACTGTATAACCAGCAGTGAAGTCCATCAAAGATTCAGTGTTTCTAAATACAATGTTGTACATAGAAGAAAAGAAAATCGTATCCTCGTAATTGGACTTCACTGCTAATTATAAATCATATAAATAAAACCATTTATGTGACAAATACATATAGTGCTTATCATGAATGAGTACACCACATTTTGAAAATACACATTTCTCATCCATTTCTCAGTGATTATAGGTCCTATATTTGAACAAAACAGATTTATTAAACATATATTTTTATTAAAATAATATTTTAGTCACCAAACATGTTTAGAAATAGAAAGAAAATGCATTTAAGTATTATTTTTTAATCTTTATTTAATATTTTTCCTAACATATAAATTCTGCTATTTTGGATCGTAGCTGTAAGTTGTTCAATTAGATTAGCTTCAGATTTGGCTTTAGTGTTGACTAATACACAAATTGCAAAGCATCCTACATTACACTTCACTGCTAATTATACATGATAAAACCATTTATGTGACAAATGCATCTAAAATATCTAATCTAATGTATAAATGAGAAATATTTTAATTAGAAGTTATTGTTTAATAAGTCAAAATACCAGTATTTGCACAAAAATGCAGAGTTCCACATAACATCTTTTAAATTAACTTAACACATGTAAGTGCATTGAACATAACAAAATTAAGTTGTCCCCAAAAATCTCAAGAATTGTGTTGTTTCAGCTCGTTTTAATAAGTAGTTGGAACTAGCACTAAAAAATATGTAAACAGAGTAAATACAGGACGACCAACAATGTTTCAAAATACATTTTACACAATAAAAGCAGCAATATATCTTTAATATGCACATTACACTTCACTGCTGATCGTAAATGATGTATATAAAACCATTTATGTGACAAATGCATTTAAAATATCTAATCTAACGCATAAATGAGAAATATTTTAATTAGAAGTTATTGTTTAATAAGTCAAAATCACAGTATTTGCACAAAAATGCAGAGTTCCACATAACATCTATTAAGTTAACTTGACATATTTAGGTTAACTGAACGTAACGAAATTAAGTTGACCTCCAAAATCCTCAAGAATTGTGTTGTTTCAGCTCATTTTTAAAAAGTAGCTGGAACAAGCACCAAAAATATGTAAAGACAGGACGGCCAACAATGTTTCGAAATACATTTTTACACAAAAAAGCTGCACTATATCTTCAATATGCACCTTACACATCACTGCTGATTTTAAACTATGTATATAAAACCATTTATGTGACAAATAATGCATCTAAATTATCTAATCTAATGTATAAATGAAAAATATTTTAATTAGAAGTTATTGTTTAATAAGTCAAAATACCAGTATTTGCACAAAAATGCAATTCCACATAACATCTTTTAAATTAACTTAACACATGTAAGTGCATTGAACATAACAAAATTAAGTTGTCCCCAAAAATCTCAAGAATTGTGTTGTTTCAGCTCGTTTTAATAAGTAGTTGGAACTAGCACCAAAAAATATGTAAACACAGAGTAAATACAGGACGACCAACAATGTTTCAAAATACATTTTACACAATAAAAGCAGCAATATATCTTTAACATGCACATTACACTTCACTGCTGATCGTAAATGATGTATATAAAACCATTTATGTGACAAATGCATCTAAAATATCTAATCTAACGCATAAATGAGAAATATTTTAATTAGAAGTTATTGTTTAATAAGTCAAAATCACAGTATTTGCACAAAAATGCAGAGTTCCACATAACATCTATTAAGTTAACTTGACATATTTAGGTGGACTGAACATAACGAAATTAAGTTGACCTCCAAAAATCTCAAGAATTGTGTTGTTTCAGCTCATTTTTAAAAAATAGCTGGAACAAGCACCAAAAATATGTAAAGACAGGACGGCCAACAATGTTTCGAAATACCTTTTTACACAAAAAAGCTGCACTATATCTTCAATATGCACCTTACACATCACTGCTGATTTTAAACTATGTATATAAAACCATTTATGTGACAAATAATGCATCTAAATTATCTAATCTAATGTATAAATGAAAAATATTTTAGTTAGAAGTTATTGTTTAATAAGTCAAAATACCAGTATTTGCACAAAAATGCAATTCCACATAACATCTTTTAAATTAACTTAACACATTTAAGTGCATTGAACATAACAAAATTAAGTTGTCCCCAAAAATCTCAAGAATTGTGTTGTTTCAGCTCATTTTAATAAGTAGTTGGAACTAGCACCAAAAAATATGTAAACAGAGTAAATACAGGACGACCAACAATGTTTCAAAATACATTTTACACAATAAAAGCAGCAATATATCTTTAATATGCACATTACACTCCACTGCTGATCGTAAATGATGTATATAAAACCATTTATGTGACAAATGCATTTAAAATATCTAATCTAACGCATAAATGAGAAATATTTTAATTAAGTTATTGTTTAATAAGTCAAAATCACAGTATTTGCACAAAAATGCAGAGTTCCACATAACATCTATTAAGTTAACTTGACATATTTAGGTGGACTGAACATAACGAAATTAAGTTGACCTCCAAAATCCTCAAGAATTGTGTTGTTTCAGCTCATTTTTAAAAAGTAGCTGGAACAAGCACCAAAAATATGTAAAGACAGGACGGCCAACAATGTTTCGAAATACATTTTTACACAAAAAAAATGCACTATATCTTCAATATGCACCTTACACATCACTGCTGATTTTAAACTATGTATATAAAACCATTTATGTGACAAATAATGCATCTAAAATATCTAATCTAATGTATAAATGAAAAATATTTTAATTAGAAGTTATTGTTTAATAAGTCAAAATACCAGTATTTGCACAAAAATGCAATTCCACATAACATCTTTTAAATTAACTTAACACATGTAAGTGCATTGAACATAACAAAATTAAGTTGTCCCCAAAAATCTCAAGAATTGTGTTGTTTCAGCTCGTTTTAATAAGTAGTTGGAACTAGCACCAAAAAATATGTAAACACAGAGTAAATACAGGACGACCAACAATGTTTCAAAATACATTTTACACAATAAAAGCAGCACTATATCTTTAATATGCACATTACACTCCACTGCTGATCGTAAATGATGTATATAAAACCATTTATGTGACAAATGCATCTAAAATATCTAATCTAACGCATAAATGAGAAATATTTTAATTAGAAGTTATTGTTTAATAAGTCAAAATCACAGTATTTGCACAAAAATGCAGAGTTCCACAAAACATCTATTAAGTTAACTTGACATATTTAGGTGGACTGAACATAACGAAATTAAGTTGACCTCCAAAATCCTCAAGAATTGTGTTGTTTCAGCTCATTTTTAAAAAGTAGCTGGAACAAGCACCAAAAATATGTAAAGACAGGACGGCCAACAATGTTTCGAAATACCTTTTTACACAAAAAAGCTGCACTATATCTTCAATATGCACCTTACACATCACTGCTGATTTTAAACTATGTATATAAAACCATTTATGTGACAAATAATGCATCTAAAATATCTAATCTAATGCATAAATGAGAATTAATTTAATTAGAAGTTATTGTTTAATAAGTCAAAATCACAGTATTTGCACAAAAATGCAGAGTTCCACATAACATCTATTAAGTTAACTTGACATATTTAGGTGGACTGAACATAACGAAATTAAGTTGACCTCCAAAATCCTCAAGAATTGTGTTGTTTCAGCTCATTTTTAAAAAGTAGCTGGAACAAGCACCAAAAATATGTAAAGACAGGACGGCCAACAATGTTTCGAAATACATTTTTACACAAAAAAGCTGCACTATATCTTCAATATGCACCTTACACATCACTGCTGATTTTAAACTATGTATATAAAACCATTTATGTGACAAATAATGCATCTAAAATATCTAATCTAATGTATAAATGAAAAATATTTTAATTAGAAGTTATTGTTTAATAAGTCAAAATACCAGTATTTGCACAAAAATGCAATTCCACATAACATCTTTTAAATTAACTTAACACATGTAAGTGCATTGAACACAAAATTAGGTTTCCCCTCCCAAAAAAATCTCAAGAATTGTGTTGTTTCAGCTCAATTTAAATAAGTAGTTGGAACTAGCAGCAAAAAAAAAAGTAAATACAGGATGACCAACAATAGGAGACGCAGTGGCGCAGTAGGTAGTGCTGTCGCCTCACAGCAAGAAGGTTGCTGGGTCGCTGGTTCGAGCCTTGGCTCAGTTGGCGTTTCTATGTGGAGTTTGCATGTTCTCCGTAGGTTTCCTCCGGGTACTCCGGTTTCCCCCACAGTCCAAAGACATGCAGGTGGCACAGGTGAATTGGCTAAATTGTCCGTAGTGTATGAGTGTGTGTGGATGTTTCCCAGAGGTGGGTTGCAGCTATATAGAAGGGCATCTGCTGCATAAAAAAACGTGCTGGATAAGTTGTCGGTTCATTCTGCTGTGTCAACCCCGGATTAATAAAGGGACTAAGCCGACAAGAAAATGAATGAATGAATGAGGACGACCAACAATGTTTCCTAATATATTTTTTACACAAAAAAGCAGCACTATATCTTTAATATGCACCTTACACTTCACTGAATATATATGAAACTTAACAAATTTAAGGGGATTGAACATAAAAAATTAAGTTGACATTAAGAATTGTGTAGTTTCAGCTCATTTTAAATAAGTAGCTTGAAAAAAGCAGCATAAATCTTTTTTGAGAGTAGAATAAATACAAGACAAACAACATTTCTAAATACATTTCTCTGCTAGTTGATGTTAATTCTTCAGTTCTCTCCAGCGTTTGCATATTTTAAAGACTAAAAGCTGTGTTTAATATGTAGATCTCTTACCTGGGTGTTGGACAGTGCTGCTATCTTGTGCATTAGAGCCAGCAGAAGCACAACAGAGGTCCAGGGGTTGCTCTGAGTCCCCATGACTGTGTTTTTTAGTCTCCGTTTGAGCGTCTGAATGAAGAATGAAGGCAGGCTGTGCTGGAGATCAACAGCAGTGAGTGAGTGAGTGACGCAGATCAGCCGGTCACAGCCAGACTGATGTTTACACAGCCAAAGCAGACACAGTGACAAACACACACTCACAGGTTGAAGTCAGAATTTTTAGCACTTTTGTATATTTTTTTCTCAATTTCTGTTTAATGGAAAGAAGATTTTTTTTTAACACATCATGATAGTTTTAATAACTCATTTCTAATAACTGATTGATTTTATCTTTGCCATGATGACAGTAAATAATATTTTGCTAGAGATTTTTCCACATACTAGTATCCAGCTTAAAGTAACATTTAAAGGCTTATAGGCAAGCCATTGTATAACGAAATAAAACAAATGCTATATGATTTATTGTTAAAATATAATAATTATTTATCAAATTTATACGTTTTTTAGGGCAACACAGTGGCTCAGTGGTTAGCACTGTGGCCTCACAACAAGAAAGTCTCTGGTTCGAGTCCCGGCTGGGTCATTTGGCATCAGGCACGTGCACACATAGGGCTCAACCTGTGCAGTGCACATGCCCTTTTTCAGTCTTAGATAGAAAGTGCCCTTCCAAAATGATCCGAAGTGCCCCCCATCAACCCCCCCTCCCTCCCGCTCTTCAAAAAATGTTATCCTGCACATGCCCCTTGGATAGTCTCTGCACGGGGCTGGTTGGCATTTCTGTGTGGAGTTTGCATGTCCTCCCCATGTTGGCGTGGGCTTCCTCTGGGTGCTCTGGTTTCCCTCACAGTCCAAACACATGCGCTATAGGGGAATTAATTAACTAAATTGGCCAAAGTGCGTGAGTGTGTGTGAATGGGAGCGTATGGATGTTTCTCAGTACTGGGTTGCAGCTGGAAGGGCATCCGCTGCGTAAAACAAATGCAAGATAAGTTAGCGGTTCATTCCGCGGTGGCGACCCCTCATGAATAAAGGAACTTAGCCGAAGGAAAATTAATGAATACCTTTCTTATTTTATTTTTATTCATTTATTTTTATTAAGCTTAATTTTGGTTTTGAGTTTGTCCCACATTTTCTTATGTTTTTTACAATTTCTTTACATTTTTATTATTTGTAAAGTTAACTTTTTTGTTGTTATTTTAGGTTTTTATCTTGCAATTCTGACTTTGTCCCACAATTTTTTTAATTTTATTTACATCATGTAATTCTGATTACATTTTTGTCAATTCAGGGTTTTCTTCTACATCTCAAAATTCAGATTTATTTCTTGAAAATGTGCAGCCATTCATTCATTTTCCTTTGACTTAGTCCCGTTATTCATCAGGGGTCGCCCCAGAGGAATAAACCACTAACTATTCCACCATATGTTTTATGCAGCGAATGCCCTTCCAAGTACTGGGAAACACCCATACACACTCATTCACACACACTCATGCACTTTGGCCAATTTAGTTCATTAATTTCCCTATAGCGCATGTGTTTGGACTGTTGGGGAAACCGGAGCACCCGGAGGAAACCCAAGCCAACATGGGGAGAACATGCAAACGCCACACACAAATGCCAACTGGCCCAGCCGAGGCTCAAACCAGCGACCTTCTTGCTGTGAGGCAACAGTGCTAACCACTGAGCCACCGTCTCACAATTTATTTCTCTAAACTCTAAGTTTGCAGTCAATACAACTACAATTCTTAATTTATTTTTATTTATTTTAAGTCTTTGTCTTTCTATCGTGATTATGTTTCAATTATGAGCTTATGTCCCACAAATCTAAATAAAATTATTTGTTCATTCATTTTCTTTTCAGCTTAGTCCCTTTATTGATCAGGGGTCACCACAGTGGAATGAACTGCCAACTTATCCAGCATATATTTTACGCAGCTGATGCCTTTCCAGCCGCAACCCATATTTCTTCGATATATCTTCTTTGTTGATTAACAGAAGAAAGAAACTCAAAAAGGTTCGAAAAAAGAAAATCAGGGGTGTCCAAACTCGGTCCTGGAGGGCCGGTATCCTGCAGATTTAGGTTCCAACCCCCAATTAAACAAACCCAAACCAGCTAGCAAGCTCTTACTAGGAATACTAAAAAAACTTCCAAAGAGGTGTTTTGAAGGAAGTTGGAGCTAAACTATGCAGGACACCGGCCCTCCAGGACTCAGTTTGGACACCCCTGAAGTAAATGACAGGATTGTTATTTTTGGGTTAACTATCCTTTTAAATCGTTAACAATTACTCAAATGGACGTCTTAGTAAACAGGATGTAAATAGACGAATGCAAGCAAATATACAAACTATTTTAGTTTTTCCGTGTTTTTAAGAATAGTGATTTGTAACGTAGACAATAAAGAAAGGAATGTTTATCATCACCATTCACGTCTATTTAATTTGTTTTGTTTGCGTCTGAGTTTACAGCAGGGGCGCTGCTGACACAAAAGCGGCTCGCGTCGTGATGACGTCAAGACGTAGGCAGCAGAAACACGGAGAGAGATGGCGACGCTGCTGCAGCCAGAAAAAGTGCTTTATCTCGTCCGAGGCGAGAAAAAGATCCGCGTTCCACTCTCTCAGCTGTATTTCTGCCGATACTGCAGTGAACTGCGGTCTTTGGAGTGCGTGTCACATGAAGTAAGTTACGCGCTTGTGACATAAATTTGACAACAATAGATGCTCCAGTTACGAGCTAACAGGCTAACAGTGAAAACATTGTACCCGCCTATTAGTCGAGTTCTTATCCTGTGGTTGGACAGTTTGTCTATCAGTCATAGATTATAAGGCAGCTGAGTAATTCGATTGGCTATGAAACCAGACTGTTAACTTTTTCACCGCCCACTTCTTGTGGGGATTTGACAAGCTAAAAGCTAGCATGAGAATTCTGAATGAAATAAACGTCTACTGTTTTTGTTGATTTATTTAATGTTTATATGCACATCAAACGATGAATTAAGTACTAAAAATCTATGCGTTGACGTTTGTAGCAGTTATTCGTGTTTTTGAGAGCTTTAACATCACCACACCCTGTAATTACAGGATACACTGTTGTTTATTATTACTTACTTGCTTAACGTTATATCGTCTTATTATTGTTAATTAAAGTCTGTATTTTACCTCTGGCATCATGATTATGTTTCATTTAGCCATCCAGTTTGTTGTCATATATATCATGTGCATAATTTGGTCACACTTTATATTAGGTGGCCTCAACTTCTATACATACATTAAGACTGGATCTCAAAAGTTTTTTCATCAAGTACCACCTCAGGAAATAAAATGTCTCCAAGTACCACCATAATGAGCAGTATTGAAATACAGTAAGCATAGTAGGCCCAGTAAAGAAGCTACATATCTGTACAGTTCAAAAACACGGCAGATTAATCCCTATTATTAAGAATATTTATTATTATCAGCCACTTTGAACATTATAAATACTTTGAACATTAACACTGTGCTGTGCATATATGTAAACAAACAAACAAACAAAATAAAATGTCAATGTTTATATTAAAATGTGCTTTTAAAAGTTATAAATGGTAGGCTACTGATCCTAAAAAGTAAACAAAACAAAAAAACTCCTGTAATTAAATGTAAAATATTAACATGTAGTGATAGCCTATTCATCAAAACCTGTGGATGTTGCTTGGACCTTATCAATATAGGCTATATGTCATCATATTCATATACATCTTTTTTGATAATTTTTGAGATATAAGTAGCATTTACATATGACATATTTGATTCCTCCGGGTACAACTAGAAGGAAGCCCACGTACCACTAGTGGTACAGGGATCACAGTTTAGTTTAGTTTAACTTAGAATACAACTTTAAAACAAGCGAACGAGCGAACGAGCAAGCACCAACTTTACCGCAAACAAACAAACAAACAAACAAAAAGAGACAAGCACGCCAGTGTCTGGGGTCAGCACATGCGCATGCGCCCCCGTGAGAACCACTGCACTAAAATATAAATTAAAAAAAGTACTTACTGTGTTCATAATGTATTGTAGAACACTTCTGGTGCTCTTGAGGTGGGATACTAGTAGGGTGAGGGGATATAGGCATGTTTAAGGGTAGGTTAAGATGTAAGGGATGGTCTTTAGTGTAATTATAAATGTAAAAACAAAAAATAATTACAGGTGTAATTACATGCAGCTATTTAATCAATCATAAGTACAATATAAAAACGTGTATTTACACCAGAAATTGTAACATTATTGATTTTAGTGTAAGTACGTATTAGTTAAGGCAGGCGTGTCCAAACTCCATCCTGGAGGGCCGGTGTCTTGCAACGTTTAGTTCCAACCCCAATCAGCAAACCTGGGCTAGCTAATCAAGCTCTTACAAGGCTTTCTAGAAACATCTGTGCATGTGTGTTAAGGCAAGTTGGAGCTAAAATCTGCTGGACACTGGACCTCCAGGAATTAAGGCCACTTAATATAAATTGGGGCCAATTTTGTTCAAAATTACCATTGCATGTTCTTTATGTTTTAGGTCGATTCCCACTTTTGTCCCAGCTGTCTGGAGAACATGCCATCAGCTGAGGCCAAGCTCAAGAAGAACAGGTAAACCACTTCTGTGCGTAATATCTGACAGGCCTGTGAATGAATAAGAGCAAATCTGAGTCATCCTGATGCCATCTGGAATTTGAAACATGCTCATTAATATTTTTAGCACTTTTTTTTCAAGATAACGATTAGGGCTGCACAATATATAAATTCAGCATTGATAATGCAATGTGCTCATCCACTATAGTCACATCACAAGATATGCAATGTGGAGTCTCAGACCTCATTTACACTAATACGTTTTAGAAGGAAAATGATCCATGTCTACACTGGCGTTTCATCTAACGTTACTGAAAAGATCTCCGTCCACGCTACACCACTGAAAATGCACATCATGTGACCGCACACACACTCTGGCATGCTGCAGTGTATGGCTGTTTCTCAATATGCGGTCTTGCGTCCTCGTGTTCTCCTGCTACTTCATCATCAGCTGCCTAAGTTCAGTTCCAATACTCAAGACCGCAAGTACGGAGGACGTGTGAAACTTCCCGGATGTGATCTTGATATCGAGGACGCAACGATGCAGACTTGAGCACCGAACTCGCTCTGGAAGTCCCAGAAGTCATTGCGACTGGAGGTGGGAAGCGCTGCATTTTATTTAGATTTATTATTAAAGTTTAGAGATATCACTTATTTAACTCAGGAGTTTCCCTAAATGACATGGTGAAAGTAAACATTACCATGGACACCTTAATAAAGAAAAAAACACATTAAGGGTGTTTGTTTGCTGAAATTCGTATTAAAATCTGTTTTATTTGTATTGTGCAACATATATTTATAATGTTTTTATGCAAAGTATATATTTTGAATAGGGGAAAAACAATAAATCGTTGTATGAAGGCTTTAATGTTTAAATATTTTACCATTTAAAACACGTGAAGGTCATGTGACCATCAGGAAGAACACAGCAATTTAATTCTCAAAGGACTCGTTCTCTGCCCTCGCGGTCTCCTGAGTTCGTTCTTCCGAGGACACCTGGCAAGACCGGTCTCCACAAGAACACAAGTCCGTTCTCTGCGTTTTTGGAATTGAGAAACAGCCATTGTGAAGGTCTGAGCTCCAGGAAGTCAGCTGGTGCTTTGAGCACACTTCCCCAGTTGAGAGCAGTGGACGTCAGACAGTACATCGAGTATCTACCGCTGGATTTCATCTCACTATAGTTGTTAAATGTGGTGTTTAATTCATCTTATCTCTATCTAACGACTCTTTACTCTTTTGAATCTATTACTTGTTCTCAGGTAACATATTTTAGCTGAGCGCAAAGATACGTTAATATATTCATTTATGTAGCCACGTACACTGATTCTGCACATTTGCTCAGTTTTGTTATTAATATGCATACAGTGAAGATTACGGTCATATAAATATGTAGCTACAAGGCGCCTCAACATTTTTGATTTCTGTTAAGTTGCTAATATCAAAATGAAAATGGGCAGTTCATCATGTTTTCATTTTATTGTTGAATAAGTGAAACAACGTAGCCAGGGTGATGTGAATGAGGCTATAAAGTAGACTGTTCCCTTTGAAGATTTACCCGACGTGTCCTCGGGAGTTTGTTTTCCAAATTAAACTTGCAAGGAAAAGATGCAAGACTGAACTTTGTGCACTTAATATTGAGAAAAAGCTTCAATCAGATCAGACAGGCGAATGTCTGCAGCCATGCCTCTGTTTTCAGATGTCTCCATTTCCCCTATCCACACTGACACTCAGCAGCTGAGTTTTAAAACCAAATCAGCTTCTTCAGCGTTTCCAAAACGATCTGTTTTTAGGGCTCGAAAACTCAAGTAGTGTGGACGGAAAGCGTAACCAAAGCAAAACCTATGCGCTTTAAAACTAAAACATATTAAAGTGAACGAGGCCTCAATCATATTTGACAAGGAGCTACAGAATCATTTATAGAGTCACTGTAAATGTAACTAATAGAGAGAAAGTTTATCATTTGCATGTGTTTTGAAGGCTGTGCATTTCAAGAGTTTAAAACATCTGTCCACAAAAAAGTTAAAAATTAATTGTATTTAATTATTTATACAATTTGTGAAAAAGATTATGTTTATGTTTCTAGTCAGAATATCTACATTTGTTGAGAGAAAATAATATTATTTTTCTCACCACATTGGCAGACTATTTAGCTTGTTTTAAGGAAAAACTAATATTTGTATTTTTTTTCATGTTACTTTGTCTTAATTTTGTGTTATCTTTACCTAAATACTGTTATGCTGCGTTCACACCAGATGCGGAACGAGCGTCAAGCACAAGTGATTTACATGTTAAGTTAATGCAACAGGCAAATAGACAACCTGCGGCGCGATACGCGCGAATGACGCGAATTGCGCGGTGCGAATGGCGCGGGGCGAATTGAGCGTTTTGCACGTTTGACACGCTTAACGAGCGTTTCGCGCGAATCTCTCGAGTTCGAAAATCTGAACTTCAGCGGACATTCGCGCCGCGTTAACCAATCAGAAGCTTGCTCTTGTGGGGGCGTGATTGTGACATAGAACCTGTTGATGGTGTCCCGGGGGAAATCCTCCAGGCGACACCGACAACAAGTCATCAAACTGGGCTTGGCTCAGTCAGAAGCACTGCTGAAAGTCTCCGTCATCCAGGTTCAGTTTCTGGAGGAGTTTATGAGCTCACAGAGCTGGATGCACCTCTGAAAGGATGTAGTGGACTCAGACAGGACCTAAACGTATCGACGCTGTTTTTCAGCCTTCATAAAGTACATAAACACTGTTATTTTCTTCATAAAATCTATGTTAGCCATTTAGCTATAAAGCTAGAGTCACCGAGCAGACAGAAGCCTTGCCCATCACGCAAATCTGCGTCTGTTCTGAAGTAAATTTGACGCGCGAATGAAGCGGGGTTTGACGCGCGAATAAAGCGAGTAACCTCAAATGTTCATGCGGCAATTTACGCGCGAATATCGCGATTTATCCGCACGTTCCGCGTCTGGTGTGAACACAGCATTAGACTCTCCTGAAAACTATCAAATAGAACTATTTAAAGCCTCTTGTTAAACATGTATTCATATCGCAATATATTTATCGCAGACAAATAAAATATTGCAACATCAGATTTTTCTATGTGCATCTGATTATAATTAGATTATGTAGCAGAGTTTTTTTTTTCTTCTAAATGATGCCCTGGTTTTAGATGTGCAAACTGCTTCGACTGCCCGTGCTGTATGCACACACTTTCCACAAGGGCCACCAACATCCCTGCACCACTGCCTGATGATCCCACCAAGACCACCATGAAGAAGGCCTACTACCTGGCCTGTGGATTCTGCCGCTGGACCTCGAGAGATGTAGGCATGGCTGACAAATCTGTGGGTGAGTTACAGCCTTCCACATTAGTTTATCCTTTATTATGGATATGCGTTCATTTCTTTTCCTTCGGCTCAGTTCCTGATTTGTTAGGAAACGCCACAGCACGATGAACCGCCAATAATTCAGGCATATGTTTTACACAGTGAATGCCCTTCCAGCCACAACCCAGTACTGAAAAACACCCATAGACTCTCACAGTCCTCTAGATGTCATTTACAATAGAACAAATAGTAAATTCACTTACTGATCCCATGTATTCTGCCCCCACCCTGCAGTGGTGCCAGGGGTCCATGCCATCTTACAAATAATGTTGCAATCAAGACCAAATAACTAAGCAGAAATGGTATAAGAGAAAGTAATGGGGGTTGGGAGTCTCCACACCACTATACCAACACCAGTGTGCAGCATCCACTTGGATGATGCGATGGCAGCCACTGGACAACAGTGCCAGTGCGCTCACTACACACTAGCTATTGGTGGAGGGGAAAGACAGTGACTATGTTTACATGGACACCAATAATTTGATTTTAATGCGATTTAAGACAATAATATGATTAAGTCGACCATGTTAACAGTGATTTTTGATTAATTTATAATAATCATAATCAAACTAAAGAGAAATCGAATTAAGACTTGTGGAGTATGCAGATATTAGTCGCATTATTAAAGTGCAATACAGACATGTGAACACCTTAATTGAATTATTACCATCATGCAGGGATTTTCGCCGCGTTTTGCGACAGGATAGTCCACAGACACACACACACCATTCAGCATGCGGTATGAACGTCCATTAAAACAACTCTTTCGAAAAAAAGTGAAAGTCCCAAATTGCAGTTAAAGTTGACAAATTAATAATGAAACACCTAAAATTACATGAAACTTTGGAGGAAATGCAGATAGCGCGGTGACGCAGTGACGTTAATCTAAGTATGTGCTATAACATGTAAAACGCGATCATGAAAGAAACATTCAAAAAGCAAATCATTTAAACGCCTTAATCTTATTATTGTCTTAATTAGATTAAGGCAAATAATTCGATTACTGATGTCCATGTAAACGTAGTCAGGGATAAAGACAATTCGATGGATGGGGATAATTGGGAGGCCATGATGGGTAAAGGCTGATGGAGGGAATTTGGCCAGGACAACGGGGTTACACCCCCACTCTTCCCGAAAAGTGCCATGGGATTTTTAATGACCACAGAGAGTCAGGACCTCGGTTTAACGTCTCATCTAAAAGACGGCGCCCACTGACAGTATAGTGTCCTCTTCACTATAATGGGGCATTAGGACTCACACAGACCACAGGTTAAGCGCCCCCTGCTGGCCTCACCTACACCACTTCCAATAGCAATGTTGGAATGTTTCTAGTGTAGTTTCCCATGCAGGTACTGACCAGGCTCAGCCCTGCTTAGCTTCAGTGTATAACCGGTCTTGGGCTGCAGGGTGATATGTACAGTCTGCAACGCACCAGAGTATGTCACCAGAGATTAGAAGATCCAGGTTGTAGCACATTATTTTCTGCCATCTATAAAACTTTTTGTCAATTTCTTTGCAGCTGCTTTCCATAGCTTTATTTATTCTGGCTGTTGAAAGTTCTAGCATTATTGTAGCATAAAACTAAGATAGCCAATACCGTATAGATAGAGAATGTGGAGGAAGCCGTCTTTGTGCAATTATCTTTGTAGCAGATGTTAGTCCTGCCAGCCAGATTTTTCTTTGCCGCTTTGTACTGTATGCAGATTCTAGTAAATCTTTGCTCTTGTTGTATTTCAGCCAGTGGAGGATGGCAGGAACCTGAAAACCCTCATACTCAAAGGGTACGCGTCAATCCAGCAGCCCTCTTGTTACATTAATATAACATTTCTCAATGTATTTTTCAAGTCATCATGATTTCTATTTAGATCAACAAGCTGATCGAGTATTACCAGCAGCTGGCCCAGCGAGAGAAGCTGGAGAGAGACAGGAAAAAGATGGCGAGAAGACGGCCGTTCATGCCTCAGGCGTTCTCGGTACACACACACACACACACACACCACTGTGGCTAGTACACCCTCCTAACTTAACATTTACTTTCTCTTAAGTAAGCACTATACAGGTGTGGTTTTCTTGTGCAGATTCTAAACTTTGGCATAGCCTTAATAACTTGGCATAGCATAGCCTTGGCATTGCTCTAAAAAATAATACGAAATGTATAGTGATGTCTGCTGTTTTATATTGTATACATTTCATTATGTTATTAATTATATCGATTAGATCTGCACAAAACTTAAATTGTTAAAATGAGTGCTGACTGTTGCTCTACAAGAATGTTAAACATATTACACTGATGATAAATTACAGTAAAAAATATTTTATGGAAGTTAATGCAAAAACAAATCTAATAAATGTTTAATTTTACAGTCAAAATCCTAAAAAAATGTTTCCACAAATGTATTAAGGGTCACGAAACCCCCCTGTTTCAGCAGGGTGTTTTCACACCTCTAGTTTGGAAAAAGTCAGAAGAGTGGGTGTGTACAGCTCTGTTTAGGTGAGAGTGTCGGGGGAGGGAAAGAGGGAAGCTGCATACAAATTTGCATAAAAACGGGAGTTTTCGTTTGGGCACGCGCTGATTTTCACAGAAGCAAAACAAACACACTGACGCAGAGGAAGACAGTGACTGTGTTTACATGGACATCAGTAATCGAATTATTTGCCAAATTATTAATTTGTCTACTTTAACTGCAGTTTGGCACTTTCACTTTTATTTAGGAACATTTCATGCATGCTCCCCTTGACAAACGAGATATTGCATATGAGGAACTGCTGGAAGGGTGTAGTTTTAATGCAATGTTTGATACCGCACGGCGAATGGGAGAAAAAAAACTCTCTGCATTTCTCCGTAGCTTAGACGCACTTGGTAGCCAGCGTCAGAAAGTCATGTGTATAGACTATCCTTTCACAAAAATGTGATGAAAATCATACACGATGATAATAGTTTGATTGCATTGTTTACATGTTTACATTCGAGCAGCATTTACAGCGGATCTTTCAGTCTATAATACTGCAGTAATATTAATGTACTGTAAACTTAGTAACTAAAACATTTCGACTAAGATATGTCTTTAAACACTGAAAGAGTATTGCTGACTGTACAAACTAACTTTACCTCTGAATAAACAAACAAAGACCACTGATCGATTACTTACCAAATCTGTTGAGACAGGACAGTCAGCACCAACTGGAGCCGCGTCTTTTTTTAAAGGAGACGAGCAGCAAATCCGGATTTCACCATTTCCAGATGCGAAAAGCTCTCGGGTAAAAAATATATCGTACAAACGTATGTCGCGTGCACTGTAATCTACATGTGAGTCCAGCTGCGCTCTCATAGCGGGAAATTAGAACAAAAACTTTATTGCAGCACATTTATAAACGCAACACTGACGACCCGTTTCTCCAAACAATTCTTCTGCTTCCAGTTGTTTTGGCACAAAGCGTAGCGTCTCTCTGCTGTCTGAACACTGTAACAGCTAAAAACAGTCTCCGAAGCTATCATACATATTAATGAAGTTGCACCGCGTACACAATAGAGTGCGCTGATTGGTTTGAACCAAGTCCTAAACATGAATAATGCAGCACACTCAGAGAAGTCACGAAATACTCCCTGGGACAGACGTCCAGTCTACACACTGGAATACAAACAAGGATCTAATCGCCGTGATGCAGCTTCAAAAATTTGTGTCATCCGGAAGAACAAATTTGCTCAAAATAACGCAAAAACATCTATTTTTCACTTTTTTTGTGAAATATATGTGTCCTAATAGTGTTTTTAGCAGTGTGGGGCACATATATGACTGTCAACAGCTCAAAAAATGTGTGTTGGTGTTTCGTGACCCTTGAACACTGAAAGGACCATCAAACCAACATGATCTAATTTCCATCACAATAATGATTTACATTTCAGGAATATTTCACTATATTTAGCATTGTTTTTTATTGCGTACATGCAGCTTTCAGAGGCACTAAAAAAAAGATCATTCTGACCCCAAACTTTTGAATGTGTTTTTTAAGCAATGATGTCTATTAAATGATTAATTCCTAACCCTTTAAAGGGCACCTATTATGCGAAATCACTTTTATACGGGGGTTGAAACACAGTTGTTTGGCGACAGTGTGTGAATATACCCAGCTCATAATGATAAAAATGTATTAATTCTATTGTTTATAATCACACTTGATAAAACCGTCTGCAGAAACACTTTAATTGACATTCTCCCTTTTTACGTGTCACCAGAGGAGGAAAGCCCCGTCCACTAGTGACCATCTCTCCCTTATAGGCATAGGACATTAGTCTTGTTTTTGAATCTGCTACTATGCTGACACATAGGCATTTGTGGCTCCGCCCTCTTTTGAAAAAGAGCACAATCTCATTTGTATTTAAAGTAGGGTTGGGCATCTAAGCTATAATGCCGATCCGATACGCATCTCGATACAAAGAATACGATCCGATATATTAGCGATACATTTATGACATATTGCGATGCAACACGATACGATTCACACCCATATCACGATACAATGCGATAATTCAGCACTAACTAATTAGATCAAGTTTATGAGATGATGTAAGAAAGGATGCTGTGCCATTGAATGAGTTTGATTATTTATTAACCAAGCAACACCAAGACTTTTTTTACAAACTGGGTTTTCTCTCAGAGCCAGAGTGTCAGTTTACAGTAGAGGGCCATTTTAGAACATAAAGCACATATTATTTAAGTATTTTCAAGATAAACAGAATGTATAAGTGCAATATATATTAAAATATATATATTTGCACTCTTTCAACATAAAGGTTGAGCATTGCACAACAAGAATTGTGATTTAACTTTTCAACTATGAAAACAAGTTTTAAAAAGATATATTTTGCCACTGATTATTCAAAACTTAAGGTTGTGAACTAGCAGTGTTATGCTGCGTTGAAACATCACTGTCACTGTAAACAACAGGCTAATAAAAATATAACAAACCAGCAATCTTCTTGCTGTGAGGTGGTCAAACTACCCACTGTGCCACCGTGATACCCATTATTTTTATCATTATTATTATTAATATTATTATTATAATTAAATAAAAATTAACAGGAGGAGGTGTTTAAAACCGCCTAGTGCGGCAGTATAGAGAGGGCGGCGTCCGCAACACCCAGTTATATCCGCGCATAGGGTGGCAGAATAGAGGTCCGCGATACCCGCACGTCCTCAGTTATATCCGCGTATAGGGTGGAAGAATAGAGCACAAAACTTTTGCGCATGGAAAAAAAAAACTTGCAATGCTTTTCTCACCACTTTTGGAGCTGGTAGCTACAGTTGAAGCAGTGCAGAAAGCCGGGGATGCAGGAACAATGGAAGATGCTTTCACAACAACACCGTGGCGCCGCTTCAAGTGAGATTTCAGATTACTCGTACTGCCCGCGTATTTTATAGATGCGCGGCACATTTTGCAAATTGCATCTGTCCTGTCAAGTCGTCCATCCTTAAATCCATAATGTTGCCATACTTTAGATTTAAAACTCAGTGGGGAATAAAATGTTTGTTTTGCTTCTCGCGCTTTCTGAGGGCGCTCCACTAGCTTCATCCGCACACCTGATACACTGAGTTGTAGTGTAAGTGTACACATCCGCAAATCCGTTGCTAAGGCTTACTTTATGTAGGTCGATTAAATTATGCGCCAAAAACAGGTTGACAACACTTGTTAATAAATAAAAAATACATTCTATATTAAAAAAATAAGCTGTATCTTGGAAAAACCGATGCATCTCGCAAAAACCGATGCATCTCGATTTGCTTTCAAAATTTCATTCATCCTCTGCTGCTCAACCGATGCACTCGCATCGTGCACGCGCATGACCGCGTATTGATACATATCGATTAATCTTCCCATCCCTAATTTAAAGCGACAGTCACCAAAACTACACAATTAGAATCAAAGCTTAAAAGGTTCATTTTCAAAGAGTTATAAAACCATATTAGTGTGGTAGTTTAAGCTGAAACACACATACACACTCTAGGGCAGTGGTCACCAACATGGTACCCGCGGGCTACCTACCAGTCACATGAGTTGCCCGTGGGCCTGTTATAAAATTAGCTTACCATAGCACCACATACCAGTAAGCTCCATCTAATATTTTCTGTAGCTATACTTTTTAAATCACACTTGCATTGGTGTAAAATTGAAAATGATATTTAAGTTATATATAAAAAAAATGTAAAAACAATTTCAGACAAATGAAGTGTTGCATATTGATATTTATGTTTCCAATCAATGTTGACAACTATTGTGAGAAATCATTAACATGATCAGTGTCTTCACATAGGTGAATATCATTATTTATTAATAATATTTGAGGAAATTTGTTATTAGGAAGTGTGTATCAAACTGGTAGCCCTTCACAATAAACGTTTTTGCTATTTCTGCGTAGAATTTTGTTAAAAATCTGCAGATTTCTGCGGAATTATTTTAGGAGTATCCAGCGGAGTGTCATAACTAAAACTTTAATATATGAAATAAAAAGTAATAAATTACTGAATAAAAACTGAATAAATTCAGATTTACACATTTACTCAAGTAAATAAACAGAATTAATGATGGACTAAAAATCAGCAGAAATCTGCGGAAAATCTGTAAAAAATCTGCGGAATTCTGCGCGCGCAGATTCCGTGTGGGCCTAACGATACCCAAGAAGTAGCTCTCAGTTTCCAAAAGGTTGGTGACCCCTGCTCTAGGGACATCAGAGACGTCTTGTGAAAAGGGGCATAATAGGTCTCCTTTAATACATGACTTGGGATTGAACGGCACTTTGAGCTGCATGTCTTGTTTACTAATGCAATACTTGCTTTTGTGCTTCAAACTGCCACTTTAATGTTTGCTTGAATGCGTTTGTTTCACTTGATTCTGTCTCTCTTCTTTTCTTTGCTTGTGCACGCTGATATTTTTGGTTTTATACCCCTCTCCAGCAACACACTATTCACGTGGTGGTGAGTGGTATTTCTTTTTTCCCCCCACAGCACTCACAGAAACACTAAGAAGCTCTTTCTTTTCTCCCCAAAGCCTTCCGTCATTTTAGCATGTCTAATCTGTTACTAAATTACTCTCTGATCACATGAGCTTCAGTTTTGCTACTTGGAATTCTTTGTACAATCAAATCCTTTGTATTCGCCTGTATGATATCTTTAGAAGTACTATCCTGTTTAGGCCGATATTTGTAGATTTAGCTTATTAAAGAAGCTTAAAGTTCAGCCAGAGACTTATTATATAGATTAGAACTAGAACTTTAATCCTCAGATCATATTTCCTCTCAATTGTTTAATTAGTATGTAGGAAAGAAAGCTTTTGGATATCATTTGTGCTTAAACTATGCTAACGCTACTAAATGTATATCACAGCAATGACACTGACATTCTTATATTATTGATGAGCTTTTCCTTAAAGGGGTAGTTCACCCAAAAATAGACATTTCTTCATCATTTGCTTGCGCTTAAGTGGTTCTAAAGTGATTTATTTATTTCTCCTGTTTAACACATAAACAAGATGTTTTGCAGAATGCTGGAAAAAAGCAACTATTTCATAGAAGGAACAAAAATACTTTTGTTTTTGTCTGGTTTCTAGTCCAAATATCAAATAATTGTTAAATCAAGAAGAATTTTCTAGACAGGCAAAATAACAATGATTTTCTTTCACAAATGAGTCAAAATAAAGTGTGTTTCTCCATTAAAAACGAGTTAAATAGTCATAAATGTAAGCAAACTAATCTATACATTTTTTTTCTTTGAAATAAGTTTATTTTGCTTACCCCATTGGCAGATTATTATTTGTGTTGTATGTCTTAAAGAGTTCCTGTTTTGCATTAAAAAAGGTCATATTTATGTCTTTGGGGGTCTCCAACTACATGCTGATCTGAAGGTCAAAAAACACTTCCATTGTCTTATAATATGCATTTATTTTTACCTAATTGTCTCAGTGACTCCCATATAATTCGTTTAGCGATTCATTTGTTCCCAAACTCCTCCTTAGGCGAAGCTAATCTGCACTGATTGGGCTGACGACCCAGTCTATTGCGATTGGTTGACTGCGTTCAGCACGAGACCGAGAGAAATGGCCACCACGGCTACAGCATGAAGTAGCAGAGAGTATGTGAGAGCCCAATGCAGGAATGCAAGAAAGCAATGCAGTTAAACACCAGCATATATTCTCCTCTTAACCCTAACCCCAAGTAATAACAACACACATTCAGTATTAATCCACACAGTGGCAAAAGTTGAACTGTTTTGTAAGTTGACCGTGTCACGTGTGTGTGAGGAACAGCTGATGGTGGCCATAGCAAAAGAGCAAACAGCAGAGGATCACTAGTTCAGAAATGCATTTAAATCGGTAAAGGACTGCACCGTTTTGGGCGCGATATGTGAACAGCCATATAGATTTAACCTAAAAGATGCAGTACAAGCACTGATCTATAATCGATACGTGATTACAAGCCGCTCAGAGTGATTACAACTTAATTAATCACACTTTTTGTTCACATTTACATGTTATGGTCCGGAGGAAGAAGAATATAAACTGTAAAAGTTCCTGACGACGTTCCTGTCAATGTCTGACAAAGTCCCATAGTTTTTGCTGCTACTTGAATTGAATTGTTTCTTCGGGGCACCACGATGCAGATGCGGACAATTCGATATCAGTTCAGTAATATTAATCATAACCGGTTATTATGTACTGACGTCATTTATCTCAAATGCGCTATGTCGCCGTAGCTTACTATGGCAAGGGAGGTGAGTGCGAGTATTTACAACACTGCAACTACTTAAAAACGCAGAAACTGTGCACAAGTTCACTGCGTGTGTGTTTGCTGGACAGTCTTTCACTGACACTTACAGCAGAAGCCCCTATTGCACTGCGATTGAGAGAATGAAAGTACTCCATCTCTCGTACTTCTCTCTCTTCTCTCTCTCTCTCTCTCTCTCTCTCTCTCTCTCTCTCTCATTGTGGCCCAGTTGACCTGCTGGTGTTGGTTCTTGTTGGTTACAGCAATACTTCTGGATACAGACACGAGCACAATTTAATTAATGGTGTTAATAGAGCCTTAAACTCTTAAATTTGACTTGATGAAGCCTGCAGAATCCATGTAAAGGAAAACTCACTAAATTTTGACATTATTTCTGAAAACAAGACAATATTTTTTGCTTGTCTAGAAAATGCTTCTTAATTTAAGATTTTTAAGAAATTTGGATTAGAAAAAAGAAAAAAATGATTTTTTTGCAGTGAAGTCAATGGCTGTTTTTCCAGCATTCATCTTTTGTGTTCAACAGAAGAAAGAAACTCAAACAGGTTTGGAACGATTGAGTAAATGATGACAGAATTTTCATTATTTTGAGTGAACTGTCCCTTTAAACTTCACTTTGGCATCAACTAATGTGGTCTGTATTTACGTGTTAAAGGAGAAGTATGGACTGGGAACCAGACTACAGAGACAGAGATCTGGAGCCCCGATCAGTGCCCTCTATGGCCTTTCGTGAGTATCTCACACTAAAACATGACTCAAGCATTCTACATGATGAGATAAGTGCTGCATCACATACAGTATTGTGCAAACATTTTAGGCCACTGGTATTCCAGTGTGGAATTCAGTATTGAATCTGTTACTTGTTCTTAGGTAATGTGTTTTAGCTAACGCAATAAGTTAATATATTAATGTATTTAACAATGACATGCACACAGATTCTGCACATTTGACTGATTGCTTGCCTTTATTTCCTATATTGTATAAACTTATTGTATTATTGATTGCTGTTATTGATTATTAAAACTGATATTCAGCAAAAGAGAGAGGGCATGTTTCATATTTTAATGAAAATAAAAGAAGGCAGTAATCTTATAGGCTCTGTTTTGTTGTAAATATACATACAGTGAAGATAACGCTCATATAAATATGGAGCTACACGACGCCTCAACATTTTTGCTGTCTGTTAAGTTGTTAATATCAAAGTGAAAATAGGCAGTTCCTTATATCATGTTTCCATTTCAATGTTAAGAAAGTGAAACAACGTAGCCAGGTTGACGGGAATAAGTTTATAAAGTAGACTGTTCCCTTTAAAGATTTACCCGATGTGTCCTCGGTTGTTTGTTTTCCATATGAAACTTGCAAAGTCTAAACTTAGAAGAAAAGGGCGCAAGACTGAACTTTGTGTTCTTAATATTGAGAAATAGCCTCAATTAGACAGGTGAATGACTGCAGCTATGCCTCTCTTTTCCCCTATCCACACTAACACGGAGCAGCAGTGTTTTAAAACAATAATGGCCTGTTAGGCGTTTCCAAAATGCTTGTGGGGCTTTATGTGGTTACACCACGGAAGGTGTAACCATAGCAAAAGTTATGCGTTTTAAATCTGAAACATATTAGATGCCTCAAAAATCAACCTGCAAAGCTACCAGAAAAACTATGGGGAAGTAAATCAAGTGTCCTAAATGCAAAGTGTTGATTTTGATTTACTTAATATACAGTTAAAGTCAGAATTAACCCCCCCCCCCTGAATTGTTTTTTCCTTTTTTAATATTTTCTGAATGATTTTTAACATTCAGGAAATTTTCACAGTATGTCTGATAATATCTTTTCTTCTGGAGAAAGTCTTATTTGTTTTATTTCGGTTAGAATTAAAACAGTTGTTAATTTTTTAAAAGCCATTTTAAGGACAAAGTTATTAGCCCCTTTAAGCTATATTTTTTCTCGATAGTCTACAGAACAAACAATCGTTATACTATAACCTGGCTAATTACCCTAACCTGCTTAGTTAACCTAATTAACCTAGTTAAGCCTTTAAATGTCACTTTAAGCTGTATAGAAGTGTCTTGAAAAATATCTAGTCAAATATTATTTACTGTCATCATGGCAAAGATAAAATAAATCACTTATTAGAAATGAGTTATTAAAACTATTATGATTAGAAATGTGCTGAATAAATCTTCTCTCTGTTAAACAGAAATTGGAAAAACAATTAAACGGGGGCTAATAATTCAGGGGGGATAATAATTCTGACTTCAGCTGTGTTAGTTGATAAATAAAAAGTATTCATGCATAATTTTTGAAAGCATCCTCATTTTACAGGATTTTTTACAAAAGTGCCTAAAGCTTTGAACAGTGCTGTAGCTTTGCAGGTCGGTTTTATTTGAAGCATCTTAGACATGTTGACATGTTAGACAAGTTCTTCTGGATTTAGGTTGTCAGTTTGTTTTCTTTCTTCATGTGATTCCACACAGACTGGATGATGATGAGATCAGATCTCTGTGTAGAACACTGCCTGTTAATCTCACTGCATAATTGAAATGAATGACTTAAAATAATGTTTGGAAATGTAAATTGATATTTCAAGTGGACATGCTACATAAAATATAGAAATAACCGACTTCAATTTTTTTTTGGTGGAAAAAGGTGGCCTGTATTGCACAGTACTGTGTATACAAAGATGAATGATGCATCAATGTGTTGTTTTTAGATTAAAAGAAGGAGAGGACCAGAAGGAGATCACTATAGAACCGGCACAGGCTTTGGATGAAGTAGAGCCTCTGCCTGAAGATTATTACACCCGCCCTGTCAACCTCCCTGAAGGTTGGTCTCATTCGTTCTTCACCCAGTAATATTAATTCATTCTGTCTTTAAGCTGATGATACAGCAGGGGAAAAAAGTATTGTACATGTCACCATTTTTCTCATTCAAGGTGGCGTTGACTTGAAATTTTTGCCCAGATGTTGAAAGCCACCAAAGAAATCCATATATGCAAAGAAAACAAATGTAATTAGTTTATAAATGAAGTTATGTTAATAAAATGACACAGGAAAGTATTGAACACATGAAGAAAGGGAGGTGTAGAAAGGCAGTGAAAGCCCAGACAGCAGCTGAAATCTCTTGGTAGTTCTTCAGAAACCCTCTGCCTTTCGTCATTGTAAATGAATATCAGCTGCTTCAGTCCAAAATTTACATTAGCAGGAGCATGAAGATGATAGGATGGCTATCTGAACAGAAGAAATGCATGAAGTGACCAGGTGTAAACAGCCCCTTAGTGTTCACATCCATGCATAATAACACTGTTTATTTTTAGTGTGCTGCAGTTTTGCCATCTGCCCTTTGAATTGTAAATTGCACTCAGTATTTACACACACATTGGCTTAATCTGCAATAAAAACATACAGGATTACTTTTAATTTTTAAGTATGTTGTTATTTGCGTACACACAGCTTCAGTGAGCCTGGGGCCACTTACAGAAATACAATCTTCCTGATCACAAACATTTGATTTATTATACAAGCAATGATGCCTTTAAAAAAATTATTATTTTTAAACCAACCTTTAATACATTACTGGGAGTTGTTGGAGCTTGTTTGAGTCTTGCTTTGTATTTCAAACTGCCTTTTTAATGTTTGCTTGAATGCATTTGTTGCACTTGATACATTATGTATGCTGATTTTCTGGGGTTTCTGCAATAAAAGCATATGGAAAGTTGATGTATGGATGTTGCGTATGGATGTTGAACTTTGCTTGCTTCCATGCAGTCACGACTCTTCGTCAGCGGCTGCTTCAGCCTGATTTCCAGCCTGCAGGAGCTTCACAGCTTCACCCCAGACACAAACATCTGCTGATGAAGCGATCTCTGCGCTGCAGGGTCTGTACACATGTCCACAGCTTCTCTTTCTTTCTCAACAAAGCCTTTTGGAAGCTGCTATTTAATGAGCTAAAGCCATTTACATGTGTTTATCGTATATACTCTTTTATATAATCTTTTTTATTTTTTTTGTTTCTTTTATTTTATCTTTTGTTTCTTTTATTTTATCGTTTGTTTTATTGTAAATTTTATTTTCTTTCTTTCTTTTATAATTTTTTTATTTTATTAAAAATGTTTTCGTTTATTTCATTTGTTTTATTGTATTTTATTTTATTTCCTTTTTTCTTTTTTGTTTCTTTTATTTTATTGTATCAGTTTTATTAGAAGTTTATTTGTTATTGTATTTAATATTTTCTGTTATTTTTTCTTTATTTTATTTTTTTCTTTATTTGTATTTATATTTAGTTTATTTTATTATTGTGTTGTATTCTTTTCTTTTTCTTTTTTGTTTTCTTTGTTTTATAAAAATTTTTTGTGTATTATTGTAATTTTTCTTTTTTCTTTCTTTTTATTTTATTATTTCATTTTATTTTTGTATTTTTCATTTATTGTTATTTATTTATTTATTTTTATTGTATTTGTTTTATTTAAATTTTCTGTGTTCATAGTATTTTTTATTTGTTTTTTCTTTTATTGTAATTATTTTCTTTTATTTGTTTTATTGCATTTAATTCTTTTGTATTTTTGTATTTTTATTTTATTTTATTTGTTTTTTTGTATTTGTTTTATTTTGTTTAGTTTTATTTAATTTTTAAAAAATGTTTTCTTTCATTTTTCTTTTTTTCTTGTATTTGTTTTATTGTATTTTATTATTATTATTATTATTTTCTTTTTCTTTTTTTTATTTGTGTTTTTCTTTTATTTATTTATATTAATTTAATTAAATTTTCTTTTACAAGCTAGCATTTTTAAAATTAAAAATACAGTAAATACAGTAACAGTTAAATGGTATTGTAATTGTTGAGCAAAGTTTATGTATCAAATACTAATATGATTTTATATTTGTATGTGATTACACTCAGCTGAGCTGCAAATCTGTTGAATAGCATTTTAATGTGCCGTTAATTACTGTTCATTCTTTCATTTCAGAAATGTGAGCACAATCTGAGCAAACCAGAGTTTAATCCGACCTCGATAAAATTCAAAATCCAGCTTGTGGCAGTGTAAGTCCTCTGTTTGTGCTCTGAACTCTTTTATTTGCTGTTCTATGAGTGTTTCTAATGAATTTTAATGAGCAACTGTGTGTTCTTTACAGAAGCTACATTCCCGAAGTCAGGATCATGTCCATTCCTAACCTGCGTCATATGAAGGCAAGTTTAATTATGTTTTGAGCTATGGAAGTCATATACTGTTGAAGTCAGAATTATTAGCCCCCTGTATATTTTTTTTTCTCCAATTTATATTTAATGAAAAGAAGATTTTTTTTTTTACATTTCTACACATAATAGTTTTAATAACTTATTTCTAATAAACGATTTCTTTTATCTTTGCCATGATGACAGAATATAATATTAGACTATATATTTTTCAAGATACTAGTATACAGCTTAGTGACATTTAAAGGCTTAACTAGGTTAATTAGGCAGGTTAGGGTAATTAGGCAAGTCATTGTATAACAGTGGTTTGTTCTGTAGACGATCCAAAACAAATATTGTTAAGGGGGTAATAATATTGACCTTAAAATGCTTTTAAATAAAATTGAAAACTGCTTTTATTCTAGCCGAAATAAAGCAAATAAGACTTTCTTCAGAAGAAAAAATATTATAGGAAATACTATAAAAAATACTTGCTCCATTTAAACATCGTTTGGGAAATATTTACAAGGGGCAAATAATTTAGACTTCAACTGTATATGCGTAACCCAGAGTAAATTTGGGTTACTAAATATTAAGTTTGTATTTAAGCACATCTTTGTACAGTATATCAGTGGTTCCCAAAGTGGGGGTCGGGACCCCTGAGGGGTCGTGGTACAATGACAGGGGGTTTGCTTGGTTATTTCCAAAAGTCAATAATTTGATTAAACTATCAGAATTGCTATATTTTAACCATCACCCACACAAGATAAAAAAATAATAGTTTTTAATAGTAAAAAAACACCAACATGCAAATGAAAAGCCATCAGCCTTTCAATTATTTTGGTGTGTTTACTTTAGATTAACAACACATTAATAGTATCAGTTGCAGCAGATTAATTTATAGCACCACTTTCTGACACCTTTATGGCAATCAAATACATTAAAAATAAACACAGGCCACAACTAAATATTGAGAATAATCTCTGAATAGCTGTTTCCAAAATTAAACCAAATAACAGTCTTTAGCTGAGGTTAATATTAAATTTAACAAATTAATAAATGAATTTAAAAATGATATGGTTGATAGACTTGCACATTTTTTGTGTTGTCAATATGCTTGCATTTATATAGGCCTATTGTGTGCCCAACGTTTGTATATCTATAACCACCTCTGAGAAATTTGGGGGTCACGAGTCATTGGCATTGTTATTTTAGGGGTCGCGGGCTGAAAAGTTTGGGAACCCCTGCAGTATATGACTGTTTAGAGTGTGAACCTTGTATACAAATAAGGTTGGTAAAAGCCTTTTCGGCTGTTACGTTATCTAACTTTGCATGGCTCCAGAAAGCAAGCCAGACCTGTAACAATAATCAATTTTAAATTAAAATGAATTAATAGGAGCCCAGAGCCTGGACTCTTGTTACAAAGTAAAAACAACAACAAAGACGATTTGACCTTTTATTTGACATTTCACTTTAAAGGAGACAAACATAATGAAACCTGTCGGAGAGACAACGAATAGAGGTGTAGAGAAGATAATCGCAACAAAGTGACATATATAACAGCACAAAGATAAACTCACTACTTCAAATTAAAATAATTTTTTTATTATTGTTTTAATAATTAAAATAGATATATTACATGTAGTTATTGTCACGCCTCCAATTCTGAAAGGAGGATTGTGATTGGAAGAGAGGAGAGATTGGCAAGACACGTCAAACAGCTGTCACGTTAAAGAGATTTCTCTATTATATGCCACTGGTAAACATGTTATTTAATGATGCCCTATAAAAAAAATCTGGGAATACCTAGGTGTAGTCGAATAATAGGAGATCAGTAAATGGAAATGGCAATGCCATGAGCTTTAGACACCATTGTCTTCTTGTTTTAATGTAAATTCATGTAAAACCCTGTTGGACAAAAGGCCAATCAGAACACAAAGCAGACTGTTGCGCCACATGCCAGCTATGCAGATATCCGAGAATAATTTAGTATATTGAATCAATGTAGTATAGGGCACCTTTAAGATGCTTGATTTTTTGCTGTAAATCAATACATAATGTTTGTTTATTTGTGGTTTGAAAACTAAGACTTTCTGAGATTTTGAGCCATAAGCGGCGTCCCAAATTGCATACTTATGCACTATTCTACGCCATTTTGTAGTATAAGTAGTGTAAGTAGTGTGTTCACACTGAAAACTCTAAAAACATTAAGTGCACTTTAATTACCCGGATGATGCACTCATTCAGCCGGTAAAATGAAGTGTGGAATGATGGACTCTTCACGCACTCAACGACCGCCGGTTTGCTTGCGTCGCGCAAGGGGCGGAGCTATCGGACGCACATGTTGAATAACTTTATTTATTTTGGATAGTGAAAGCAAAATTCTCCTACGACAGTGATTATAGCGCCTCCTGATGGTGAATGCGGCAATACTCACGGCAGGTATTATTTGATAATTCGGTCGTTTATTTCACTGATCTGGCAACCGTCAAACGTCATCAGGGAAACGGTTTGAATTTCCACTTAGTAAAAAAACATTAGTGTGCCATTTGGGACGACACTACATACATATACTATCCTGTTGAGTGTGTAAGTGCATAAGTACATAGTGCATGAGTGCATAGTGTATAGTGTGCCATTTTGGACGCAGCTATAGTCTGGTACAGTCTGGATAATTTTAAAGATGTTTTTTTAAAGTAATGTTAGTGTTTTGTTTTAACGCAGGAGAGTCAGGTTTTGCTAACTCTGACTAACCCAGTGGAGAACATCACTCATGTGTCTCTGTACACCTGTGAAGAGGAAGACCAAGATGACATCAACAGCACCGCTAAGGTAAAACTCACATTTCTCAAAGTTTAAGGCCTTAAAGTCTAAAGTCAAGATGTTCATTGTACCTCCCTTGTACATAAGAATTCTTAATGCAAAGTCAATAAGAGCAACTTGTAAACACAATACATATAAGACTTCAGTATCAAGCACAGTGGTTTGCACTGTTGTCCCACAGCAAGAAGGTCACTGGTTCAAGTCCTGGCTGGGCCAGTTGGCATTTCTGTGTGGAGTTTGCATGTTCTCCCCATGTTGGAACGGGTTTCCTCCGGGTACTCCGGTTTCCCCCACAGTCCAAACACATGCGCTATAGGAGAATTTGCTAAACTAAATTGGCAGTAGTGTGAGTTTACGGGTGTTTCCCAGTACGGGTTGTGACTGGAAGGGCATCCGCTACGTAAAACATATGCTGAAATAGTTGGCGGTTCTTTACGCTGTGGTGACCCCTGATAAATAAGGGACTAATCTGAAGGAAAATGGATGAATAAAACAAATTAAAGCTTATTGCATAGATGATCATAACAATTTAATACTCTGAACTACAGCTGCACAATTAATCGTCAAAAGATCGCGATCTCGATTTCGACCCTCTAGACGATCTTAATCCAGCATTTCTACAATTCAGTCAATCATATTTTTAAGTTCAAGAGAGAAGAAAAGGCGGATGCACGAGTCTTTTCATTGTTCCACACACGTTGCTCAGTGACATTGGCACCTCCAAATGATGTTAAAAGACTCACATACTGTATTTATTATGTATAATTCACCTAAAAATGTCACTTTTTGTCTTAATATAATGATGTTTTCGCGGCCGGGAAATCACACGTGACGTGAGCTGCTGACTGTGAGCTGTTATCACAGAGAGGGCGGGCGCGCGCGCGCTCTACTTTAGTGAACAGAACCTGCACATGTTGCGAGTAACAGGTAATACAGTTGTAAATAATATTCAGTTTGTGGCACAGAGTGATCGTTTGGGAGCCGTGCGCGAAGTATGAACAAGCACTTAGCTGTCAAAATGAAACCGAAAGTGGTTTAAATGATCATATCGCATTTTAGAGTTATGATTACAAAAAGCATTTGATGTTTTTTCTTTCATAGCGAACACACAGCTGTGCATGGAAATAAAGGTTTAAAATGTCAGTATAACTACTCTAGCCTATATATTGTTGAATATAATCTGATAATGGCAAATTTCTGATTTTACCAGTGAATAAAATTGTCTAATATGACAGATTGCAAGCACATATCTCAAACATTATTCAACATCAGAATTATTATAAGTAGAATAGAATTATTTATAGAAACCAGTTCACATAATACACATAATATTATTATCGATGTTGTGCCATATGTTTGTTTTTACCATACCTTTATTTTACATCACGATTCTGTAGATCTTTATTTTAAGCAAAAAAATCGCGATTCTCATTTTAGCCGGAATTGTGCAGCTCTACTCTGAACAGTATACAGTAGGGATGGGTACTGAAACTTGGTAGTAATTCCCAAATGGACAGCGACAATGCCCGTTGCAACAAACTCAACAAGTTGTTTTTCTTGCCATGCTGCTGTTGTAGATAGTGTGTTCTGGGAAATTTTCTTACCGCTTGGTTTTGAGTGTGGTCCTGAAAAATCTTCGTTTTAAGGGGTATCTAGCCCTTCCCCTTAGCCATACGCCTTCAAGCTAAGGAAAATTGGGGCCTTTTGCCTTTACTTGTATGCGCAAAACTAGGGGTAGGGGTAAGGGGAAGGGCTAAGGCGGGGTTGTC